GTGGCGGCGGCGGGAGGCTGTGAGCTGGCTGCTGGTGGTCTCAGTGCCCGCACCGCCCCGGCCGAAGCAGGAGGTCCGGGTAAAGGGACCGCGGGTCTCCCCTGCCAAGCCCGCCCCGCGAGCACGTCGCCCGCCCCCTCCCACTCCGAGCCGAGCGGAGTCGAGCCGAGCCGAGTGGAGCCGAGCCGGGCCGAACCGACTGGGGGCCGCGACGATGGCGTAGCGCTGCTGATGGGACAGGGCCCGGGACGGGGCCCCGGACCGACGGGGGGGCCCCCGATGGCCAGCCGGCGCTGGTGCCGGGGCGGCCCTGGGAGCGGCCCCCGGGCCCTTTTGGTCCTCGTCGTGCTGCTCATGGCGCCGGGGCCGGGCGCCGCCACCCACAAGAAGCTCATCCGCATTGACGGTGACATCATCCTGGGCGGCATCTTCCCCATGCACGAACACGAGCACAAGACGGGCGGCTGCGGCGCCGTCAAGGAGGAGAAGGGCGTCCAGAGGCTGGAGGCCATGCTGTACGCCCTGGACGCCATCAACGCCGACTCGACCATCCTGCCCAACGTCAGCCTGGGCGCCGTCATCCTTGATTCGTGCTCTTATGCGCCCTACGCCCTGGAGCAGTCCATGGAGTTCGTACGCAACTTCATGAACCCGGTAAGGCTACCCGGCGGCACTGTCCCCTCGTCCCCTTCGCCAGACCGGCTCCAGCGACAGTCGGGCGGACGGCAACTTTTTCCTGTTATTTGTTTCGCGCCGTAGGAAGGATGTGCAGTCCGGAAGCTCCAGCCTGGAGCAGGTCATGGTGTCGTGCGTGGAGTGATTTGTCGGGGGCGTCACGGGCACGGGTGCGGGGGTGCGGCACTAGGCGGCGGCGGGGGGCAACTGAGCACGTCTATCTGTGACGCGGACTCGACTGAAAACTTTGCGAAAGCGGAACAACCGTCTGAGGGAGGGTCCGACACCGAGCCGGGGGGAAGCGAGGGGACGCCCCGGTGGGACGCCGGGGCCGGGGCCGGGGCCGTGCTGGGCGCCAAACGAAAGCACCGGGCGCTGGCTCCGGTCCGCCCCCGGCCCGGTCCGCCTGCCCCGCCCCTGCCTCCGCCCCCCGCTCCCGCTGCCCTGGCGAGGGCCCCGTCTCGCACGGAGCTGTGCCCGGCGCCATACGCATCCGGTATTGGCTCCGGGTTTTCAAATCTCGGCCCCGAACGATCTCGCCCTCGCTCCTGGGTGCCGGGACTGCTCCGGGAGGCCGAGGGCTCCTTTTGAACATCTCGTTTGCGGCTCAGGCCTCTCCCTCCACGCCCTTCTCCTCGCCTAGCTCAGTCCCCTCCCCCTTCCACCACCGCCCCCGTTTCCGGGCAAATCCTTGAGCCTGAGCCGTGCGTCTCAGCCCGGTGCGTTGGCGCGAGATTATGCCAACCGGAGGACGAAAGCCGCGGGCCCGGAGGAGCTCTGCCCGCAGCACTGGGGCCCGGCCCGGGCCCGGCCCGGAGTCGCTCGCGGACTACTGACAAATGGGCTTGGAATCTTGCGAAGCTGGAATGTGACGCGCTTGAGTCGGTGACCGAGTGGCAGCAGCTCGACCCCACCCGTCACTGCTCATCCCCCCGGCAGCTCCGGGTACTGCCGTGAGGAATGCGCGCCGAGTGCGTTTACTTTGCGGGCGGAGTCCGGGCGGAGTGTCTTTGCGGGTGCACGCCACACGGCGCGAGCGCGAGGACGCCGGCGACGCAGGAGGAAGCAACGAACGACGTCATTTTTTGCAGATCACGGGCGACACGTTTTGGTGAGGGCTTGAGGTGTGACCCCGGCCGCCGCGACTCCAGTCGTGTCGCAGGGAGCAGCATCTTGTCGATAGTCGATTTCCTGCAGCTGCATGCTTCCTCCGCGCGCGTACGGTGACAGTGATGGACGGGGCTACTG